CTGTGCCCGTCTCTTCAGAAAATAAAAAACGCGTTTCTCCATAAGTCATCCGAACGCAGGAACCAAACAGTGCCGCGGCGTTTTCAAAACGCCGCCCGCACTTATAAGCTGCCCCAAACAGACCCTAAGCTTTAGGGTGTGTTTGGGACAGATTTTTGTGTGCTTTGTTTTTCAGACCGATTCTAATTGGGAAACTGTTTTCTTGCTGCTTCTAGAGATTTCTGTAATAGAAAGGTATTTTTTTTAATACGAGTTGTTAAAATGTGGTGGTTGTTGGTAAGCTTCGATTTGACTTTTTAAAAATAAAATAAATTTATAATAGCCACCGCAGCTATTTGAAAACCATTTTTTTTCTTTACAGCTACCCCAAACAGCTTTTTAAAAAACAGTTTATTTTGAGGCTTTATGCATGCAACATGAAAAAGGAATAGATTTTCTCTAGTATCTTATGGTAAATATATATATTGATTGATATAATGCTCATTTTTTTAAGCCTTGCAAATATACCAATTGAACTTATTTGTCTTTGTTTTAAATCAGCTTGCTTTAAGGAAAGGCAGGTGCCATACTTCTATGATGTGTTGGGTATTATATGTTTTTGCCCGCTTTATGGAAGGCACAGGCAAAAATCTGCTTTCAGAAGCAGTTGGTCCCATAGAAAAAAAATTTTCAGCATTCAGGCAGCAATTTTCTACAGCATGGACAAAATATTGCGTTCGCACGTCCAGACAGTCAACCACAGCACACTGCATCACCCATCAATGAGATGTATGACGATGTGGAGCCCTCTGGTTGTCCGTCCGAACGTACGGTGTTCGGACGCAATATTTTCTAACATAAATGACAGTCTAAACAAACAAAGCCTTGGTAAAAACTTTTTACTATTTACAAGTCAACCTTAAGAGTACTTGAAAAATACTTTGGACAAACGATTTGAAATAACGAAGTTTAAAATAAGGAAAAAGGGTAAAAGGTAAAGAGTTTATCAAGAGTTCCATGCTTATATATAAGGAGACAATCACTGGCAAAAATTTTTAAGTTGCTCGCTTGATTAAGGTGTTGATCAATTTTCTAAAAACCATAGACCCCTATTTATAATTACAAAGCGATGTTGATTACCCATAAAACTTGATAGAAAGCAAATTAATCGTTTCATGACTCAAATCATACCAATCAGATAAAAATAACACAAGCCATAGAATAGAGAAGGCCAATCATAAAAACCACACAAAGTAGGTGGGGATCGCAAAGGAGTTAATAAAAGCCGTCGGATAGACGAGGTTGTGAAGCAAAAAGCCACAAGAGGTGGCTATCATCAAAAAGTTGCATCAGGAAGAAGTTACTAAAGGGGGAAGCTTTGGAAAAAGCACTCTTCACTTCAAGCCTCAGAGAAAAAAATTCAATTCTGACAAATAATTTAGTCAAATTTTATCCAAGAGGTCTAGGCATTGCTCCTAGATTTTTAACAAAATACCCATGTATGTCCCTTTACAACTAAAGGTTCCTCTAATTTTCATCATCATTCATTAGTTAACATGATTTCATCTCCACTAATAGCTCTAGGTAAAATATTAATATATTTGTTCAAAATCTATATAGTCTGTTGCATGAATAGAGAACAGAAAAAGAAACATAAAAATAAAAACATTGGCTTATAGTTCATATCAAAAAACCAAATCAAATAAACTAAAAGCTGGACTAATGCCAAAATTTTCCAAGATGTTTTTAGCTTGAAAATATTCATTTTAACTTGTTACATGACCCTATATGATCCAGTTTCTTCTTATAGCTAATTTGCTAATTTGTTACATGACCCTACATGATCCAATTTCTTCTTAAAGCCGAAAGAAAGACAAAGCCAACCTTATACAAAGCCAACCTTATAAAAAAACAGAAACTCCCCAAAAACTGCCACCCTACCAGATCTAGAGGAGAAAGTGAATTTCTTCCATCGGGAAGTTTTTAGTGACGAAGAACTAGTAGCCCGAGGATTTGATAAAGAATATCATAGGGGATGCCATGATCTTGAAATAAAGGTAGATATACAGTTTTTTACGGTTGTATGAATCTAGATGAATTTATTGAGTAGCTCCAAATAGTGAAATGAGTCTTTAAATATAAGTTCCACCTAAGAGAAGGATAAAGCTGGCAGTCGTAATGCTCGGGAAGAATGCTTCCTTATGGTGAAAATTTTTAAAGCAACTATGTAAGCGTAAGGTAAAAAGTAAAATCACTACTCGATCTAAGATATAACAAGAAATACAGCACAAATACCTACCAACAAATTACAAATGGAATATGTTCTTGAGGCTTTACCACTTAGAAGAATGATATCTCAGTAGTTAAGTAAATTATTGAGTTCGAGCGGCTTATGTTGATGTGTGAGTTGTTGAAGCCTAAGGAGAATATCATAGCTAATTATCTTGGGAGATTAAGACCATCCATTAGCAATCTGACATAGTTACAGCCATATTGAATATTACAGGATGTCCAGGCCTTAGACCTGAAGGTGAAAAAACAACATAGCAGTATCAGGTCTACACTACCTTCAAATAAGGTTCAGCCGCATAATCAGATAGCAAAAGCACATCTAGTGGAGCATCACAACCGACCCCACCAGAGAGAAACAATTTCATAGTGGAGAAAGGTAGAGCACAACAGCACTCCTAACTCCATCACAGCCAACAAGTACTTCACGTGCCACGGCTTTGGGCACATTACGTTTGACTGTCCAAAAAGAAGACTGATATCTTTCACTGAGTAAGGTGCAATGGAGGGCGCTGGAAGCGAAAACCTAAAGGAGAAAAATGGAAGGGAGTACCGACTGCCCACAGATGAGGGAGATATGCTAATGATCCGATGGGTCCATCAAACTAGCTTGCAAGAGAGCAACACGAGCACCGCCACAACACATTTTATACTTATTTTACCGTGAAGGAAAAAGTGTTCAACCTGATTATAGATGGAGCTAATTGTGAAAATGTGGCATATATGCAACAGATGGATAAATTGGGTCTCACTACTCAGAAGCATTCTCAGTCATATTTCCTAAATTGGTTAAAGAAGAGTAAGACCAGTGTTCACAGAAGATTTCTCGTGGAGTTAACTATTAAAGATAAGTTCCATGAGCAAGTTTGGTGTGTCATTGTATCTATGAAAATGTGTCACATCTTCTTAGGTCATCCTTGACAGTACGATTGGTGCACATATCATGGAGGCTCAAACACAAGTAGTCTTTCACTAGATACGAAAAGCCTATTGTACACTTGCCTTGGAAGAGTTTTAAATGTTTGAGGATGTGGTACCACAAATTATCTTTTTATAGTTCAAAAGAGAAGCATTTGCACGACTAAAATTTGAGGTCCCAGAACGCAGTAAGTTCGGCGAACAAATACCAGTCACAGGGCAGCCACATTAAGTGTTATTTAGCATGTCCCCACTTTAGATAGAGATGAGAAGTTTTAAAACTATTTATGTAAGGCCCTGAATAAATCAGGTACTAAATTTCAATTCCATTTCGTGACACATTCATGAACAGATGGTCAAATAGGAGTGGTGAACTGCTACTTCGAGAATCTGTACAAGCATTTTATGAGAAAAAATATCAGACGGTGAGATTCAGGTATTTCCAAAGAAGAAGTAACTTCTCCTACCTGGGGAAAATGGTGCGGGCATCGTGCATGGTTCTGCAGTATCATGAAATCCTGTCGAACGCAAAATTGTGATTATTTCGACAACCGTGGGGGGTGGCCCAAGAAATCGTCTTTTAATTATTTTCTATTTTTACAACAAGTTTCCTTCTAGTTTTCTTTTCTTTATGATTCTTTCTTATTTCTCTAGTTTCTACTTAGGTTATTTTCGCAAGGGAGCTTTATATTGGTTGTATTGTGATTTTGGATTTTTCAATTTTACTGATTTTATGAATAGAGAGATTTTTCTTCAGTTTTATGCTCTTCGGAGCGTTGTATCCACTTCATTTTACAGGTGGTGTATATGTATATTTCTTAGGAACAGGTAGTGGTATCTCCTCGTTGCCCGTATCTCGTCATTTCTCCGTCTAACTTGCTGATTTCAACCACAAAAGTCGCAAACGACATCGAACCTAATGTCCAACAGAAGATTTATTCCTGCAATCCCTTCCAAAAATTGTCGACCACACATTAAACGTCCCTCACTATTCCACAATCACCTACCGGTGAAATACGCTTCCCAAATACCTCCTAAGAGCCAAAGACCAATATTAGTAAACGTAGGCGAATATAGAAATATCTGGTTCTGTTATAGAAGTACAAAAATTAACAGATGTTTCAAATAGGGGATCCTACTAGTGCATGTGTATTCAGACTCCTATTAACACGGAACTCCATGAACATGCTTGTGTCAAAGGCATCTTAGGTCGGTGCGGTTGGGCCCATCACTTTGCTGTCATGTATCATGGCTTCTAGGCAGAGCCATGTTTCCATGAAATAGCTATGCACATTTACAGGTGCTTTGTTTGGTAACTTCAAATCAAGTCAATCTTCATAGTAGTACAACAAAAAAAGATTGTTAACAATCGAACCAGGAAATGAAGGAAATATGAGAACAGTATTTCAAATAGCTATGTACATGAACTCAAGGAAAAGACAATGAAAACTCTAGTCAAACAAATCGTAAGGAGCATTTTCAATTAAATCTAGTATGACAGAAGTTTTAATAACATAGAAAAACTCACTTGAATAGAAAACTGCAGTTTCGTATCCCAGTACAAGGAAAAAATTGGAGGCCTTTGTTTCCCAATGGACAACACACAAGCTCCTGGGTGTATAATAGATGGGACACCAGAGATAATTGCCACATACTTTTCAGGAAACCGGTCTTTTGGAGGAAGAACTCCCAAGAACAGAGGATTCTTGCTTGATTGGGCGCCAGAGTAGGATGTTGGGTCAACATGTAACATCCATTTGGGATGCTCCAAAAAAGCACAGAATAGGTATAACAACAAGTACGAGTCACTTGGAACATCGGTGGTCCATTTTTCGACTGTTTTGTCAAAGCCAGCCCCATGTCCAATATAATCAAAATTCTTCAAGCATGAACCTTCGGCGAGCTCTGCAAGTGATGGAAAACGCACAAAATAAATTAATAATTTATGCTAAACCACTAGTGTCTAGTCGTACAATTAGATATGCTTCTTTTTTATCAATTGATGAAAAACTAATTTTGAATGCAGCACATAGCATCCTTGTCCTATATCAGTGGTATCATTTAGTTTCCTTAGGCGCTTCTTATTGTGCGTTAATGCTCTTTTTTTTCATTTTCTTATTTTTTTCCAAGTTCTAGCACATCATAAAACATGTAGTTATTATAGTTTTTTTCCCATTAGTTTATTAGTCACTTTATTCATCTATGGCAAACATGATCGAGATCCCTTGAGAATTTTGTGGCATATTGTATTATCTATGAAATAATATTCCCAAAAATGTCATTCCTTTTGAACTTGATTTCGCTTGTCACTTTTACATTCACTTTTCAATTCTAGTTGTTCACATCCTACATGTTACTCTATACTTTAGTCGTTGCACCCACCAAAAAATTTGTCATTTTAAGTCCAATGCATATATAAGATGTTGATTTTTATCAACTCAATGAGCTCTAAGAGTTTATAATCGAAACTTATTCAAATTTAGCATTCTCAATCACCAAAAATATTAAATCTGCAAAGGCATCCAATTAATATATTGTGAGTTAAACAATTTAGTGACTTCAAAATGACTACTGAGATCTCCTATCATACACAAGGAAATTGATATGGAAAGAATATCACATGTTAGGGGTGTTTGGCTGCAACTAGGATTTAAGTTAAATAGAATTTAATAAATTCAGTAAATCCAGATTTATCAAATCCAGAAGATGTTAAAACCAAAATAGTTTCTGGTTCAGTTAATATTAAATATGTTCGACATGTTTGGCATAAATCCTTTTGAAGTATTTCTTCCTAAGCTAAATTCGTTAAATCCATCAAATGATTGGATTTAGTAAATCCCAATTTACGTCACAAATTAGATGGAAAAAAATGAAAACTGGATTTAATGGGGCACCAGATTTGTCTAACCTATTTTTCCTATTTGGCAAGACTTACGTTAAATATATACATAAATCATGTTAAAAACTTGCTACCAAATATTATTTTTATGTGAAAGAACGGATTAAATCACACGTGCAACTTGAGAGATAAATACCTAAACAACTATTATCAAGGGTAGAAATCCTAGGGACCAAATAAGGCCCAACCTAACCCCTCATTGGTATGGATGAAAAATTTGTCGTTACTTATTAGCCCCTTCAGCCCCAATCAACTGTTCCAAATCATCTACCTCATCTCATGCCTCCCTTTAGAACGTAATAAAGTCATGTTGATCCACCAACAATTTCCTTGAGTTCGATGAGGGTTGAGGCCCTATATCATTAAACAAGCAATATGATCAACCTACTATACACATCAATACAATGATAGAATATTGAGCAAAATTATATAAAAATAAAGAATAAACATACCAAATATCACAATCACAAGACAAATATTTATTAGATGATATTCACATAAGTCAAGATGTTCATATCTCAAATATTCCACTAATTCTTAAAAGAATAGTACATCAAATACATCCGACACACAAAAAATAAATGTATAGATACTAATTTTCTTATATCAAAAATTGAGAGGAAACAAAATTAAGTGTTGTGAAAATAAGGGTTGAATGTAAAGAAGTTATTGCAATTATATTCTTTCCTTATCAATTGCAAGAGTTTTTTCTTCTCTTCTCTCATATATTGCAAGTACTTCTCTCTCTCTCTCTCTCCCTCCCTCCCTCTTCTTCCCATTTGCTTTTTGTTTATAAATGAATCAACACACTGTAGCCCTCCCCTTATATAGTGCTTGGAGTTAATAGGTAGCAAGTTTAATTTTATTAGAAAAAATGACAAGTTATCATAATATAAATACAAGTAGATCATTGTAGGTGATAATGTATAGAAGGTAAGCAAATAGTAGTAGATAAGGTAACTAGGAGAGTTAGTTAAGAAATGTTCTCTTCATATTTTAATAGTCTCCCATTAGAAAATAAAATTTCTAATGTATAACTTAGCGATCAATGTCTAAATACCTCTCTATATGGCACCTCTATGTCATTATTAATGAAGATTCAATGAAGTTTTGCAAAACCTCAAATTTTTGCCATTTTTGTAAAGCATATTTGTGGGATCTTTTTGCTCTAAATTTAGCAAGCTTTAAAATATCATCTTCAAGAAAGTTGTGTATGAAGTGATAGTTTAATTGTATGTGCTTCATTTGAGAGTGGAAGACGACATTCTTTACTAATTAAATGTCACTTTAACTGCCACAAAATAGCTAAATATTATTTTTGATCAGTTTAATTCTTTTTAAAAGTCATTTAGCTAAAATAACATGGTTGGCTTCGAGAACAGCAAGGTTTCATCTTGTCTTGAGAATGCAACTATTTTTTATAACTGTTACACTCAATTGAGGAGCATGCCACCTAAGAAGTAGATGTACCCGGTAGCACTTCGCATATCTAGGTTTCCTCTCAGATCTACGTCAACATATCTAGCCATTTTGAACTTAATGAGTGATTAATTGTACATTTCAGGTTGCATGGGATCCACTTTACAACTTCCTAATATTCCTTTCTTGAATTTAATATACACTGACTGACAACTACCACTTCATCTGCAATGTCTACTCTCATACAAAATACATAAAAAACTTACTAATGTATACTAATGTATAAGGGAATTTATCCATATAGTTTTTTTTCTTCAACTACATTTAATATATGTTCTGTTTAGATTCTAGAGTTACTAATTAGTAGCATGCCACTATTTTTTTTCTTTAATTCTATTGAACCTATGCAATATTTTTTTAATGTATGAAGAATGTGATAAGTTTAAAACACAGGAAGTTTTGTCATGATCCACTCTCGTTCCAAGAATCTTAGTTCTACATGTCAAATTTCTTTGACAGTTATTTTTTCAAACCATTGATTTTCTTGATATTGGATTAGCCCATATAATCACTATGTTACACCCCATAAAAGCAAGATGATAAAATCATTTACAGTTTGTTTTACACAGCAATAGTTATCAACATTACATATATGAAATCAATGGTAAATTAATGGAATTAGTTGATATTATGATTCATAGAAAGATTAATATCTTATGTATTTAAGAAACTAAATGATGGAGAAAAAAGGCAAAGAAGATTGATAACTTAGGTTTTAAACTTTGGTATTCTTATAAGAGTCGCACTAGAAATGATATAGGTATTGTTGACCTCATTTTTTATGAGGTCAGACTCTTTCTCCTTAGAGCCTAGGATCTAGTCATAGGATTTTCCTAATGATTATCTTAGAAGACTGGAAATGAGACTTACACATTTAGAAACTCAAATCACCTCTTGTTCTTTTGGGAGGCCTCACATAGATGGTTTCAAGCCATCCCCATTTGACTGAGTGGCTAGGAGCACAAGCTATCACCATTTGATTGAGTGGCTAGGGGAACAAGCTATTAGTATTGGGTTGAATGGCTAGAACCAACGGTTGGAGGCCCAAAAAGAGCTCCCATAGAATCAAAAGGCCTAAGGAAATCCTTTCATGGCTTGTCCATGCACACATTCACACATTAGATACGCATAAACATCACAATTCACACATTCGACGCACATCAACATTGTGATCCACGTCACTAACACTTACATACATTGCACCGTTAATTAAAACTAAAATCAATTGTCAAAATAATCGACCACGAACTCAAATTTAAATAAAACCAAATTTGACGCATTTTCGACCCGATCATCATCGATGAGCCTGCCGGACAACCTCGGATGATTAAACGGGCTTGCCCCGAAAGTCCAGAACGTTGATTTTACCTAGAAAGGACATCAAATTTGCTATGGTTCCGAGCACGAATAAATCCCACGCAAATCGATTCACATGAATTAAAAAAAAATCATTGTTTAAGCTCACAAACACTCCTAAACCCTAACACTCATTCGGCCTCCCTCTTCCTCACGCAAGACAAGCCACACTCGACAAGCCCCGTGCGACCAAAAAAAAAAAAAACCCATCGCCTCTGCCTGCTCCTCCCAATCCCGCCTCCTTCCTCGTAACCAGAGCCTGCTCCCCTCTCTCGAGCGACCAAACGTCTGCTCGATTCCGCCTGCTGACTTCCTCTTTGGTTCGACCGAACTTTCCCTCTTCCCCCTCCTTGTCGGCTCACCTATCCCTCTCTGCACCAAACTCCCTCTCGGCACCGCAACCGCTCGCTTTTCCCTCTTCTCTCTTTTCTCCAAACCCTAGCCGAGCCTATCTTCCCCTCTTTCATTCATCAAGCTTTTGGAAGTGAGATTTCTTTCTCCTCTTCTCTTCATTTATTTGATCTATGGATTTTTTTAAATACTTTTATTTTCTATGTTTGATACAATGCTAATAATTTTCTGTTAAGTTTGCAATGATCTAAAAGAAAGTTCTGCAGAGATTTCTCTGATGGATTTATGAGATTTTTTGTATTTCATGGTTGTTTGTATCTTTATTAGGAGATTTGTTTCTTTCTTTACCTTACATCACTTATAATTTTCATATATTAAAGATGGTTTTGCTGAAAAATAGAGTGATTCGTGATTATTTGTTGGTTTGATATTTAGTTGTTCATAATGCTCGCTAAGGTGAATGAAATATAAGGAAACTTTCAGCATCATATATCACACAGAAATCTTGTAAATCTTGGATCTTTTTAGTTTCAATAATTGGGTGCTTCAGTTATTCTAAAATTTATATTTTCTTCCTTGGAAATAAAGATTTGAAACATGTATTTACTCCAAATAATGCTTATGTTGGGCTGAAATTTTGCATGATTTATTTAGAATCTTTTGGAGTCATGTGAGGTTGGTTTTAAAAAAGGCTTATCGTGAATCTTATTGCTTATTATTTCATCATCATTTGTAATTGAGATGTAATCCAAATGCTAGTGTAATCCTCGGGAATCAGAAAAGAATTGCTAATCATGAAATGTGTACGTGTATACTATAT